TGGAGTTTCACCACCCTAGTGATGTGAAAAACACATTTCACGACTACTGCATATCACCGCGAATATCGCGTTTTTCACCGAGTTTTACGACGCCACTTCACGTAAAACGGGTGGTCGTGAAACTCCAATATCTAATAGTAATAATATGGATCATACTATCGTAGCATATCGATCCTCATCTGAGCCGCATTGTCGCAGGCGTTGGTATCTATAAACTCACACACACGAAATCGTTTTTATTTCCAGTGTAATTTACTCGTTGACGACTCTTCGTGATGAGCTTGACAATTTTTTTCTGCGGTCTCAGGCGATGGACTTCCTCTCACTATCGCAGAAGAGTTGGCTGGACTCTGAGCACGATGACGATAAGTAAATTTGATGTTTAATTTCGTGGCGCGCGACATTTTCTTGAGTAGGTTCATCGACTGTGCTGGTCGTAAGGTGGTGGTCATTGGTGGAGGCGACACTGCTGTTGATTGTGTTGCCACGGCGATCCGTCTGGGCGCGGAAAGCGTTCTGCAGTTTTCTAGAAGGCTGGTGAGTCCACGTGGTTGTCTGTGGAGATCTCCTTGTTATTTTGATATAAACTTCGTGATGAGCGCGGGTTCGATCCCCGGCGAGGGCTTTTTTCGAGCATTTTTTTATTGTTAACAGTCACGGTGCACGGAAATACGGGAGATGAGTAAATGATGAAGAAATGGTGTTCGGGGTGCTCGTAATTATCCCGGGTTCGATCCCCGGCGCGGGCATTTTCCGCTTGCTGACGGTCATGGTGTACAACGGTTTTGGTCAGTACACGGCATAGGTTGGTGATGAGAGTGTTGGGGGTCGGTAGGCCTTCCTTATCTCCCATTGAGGGAACGCCACAACTAGAGGACTTGTAGGAAGAACTTATCTATCAATATAATCAATAGTAGGCTCACTTGACGCTAGGCTAAGATATGCACTGCGACACGGAGCAATAGCCAAGGAAACAACTGGCATAGAAACGAACACAATCAATGAGTATCCCCATGTTTTTCGCGACATATATGAGTTTACTTTCCCGAATGGTATGTGCCTCGAGAACTCAACTGATGTAGTCGTAGAGAAATAATGTGAAAAAATGAAGGCACAGGAAATGCGCTAAATTACCGTATATACTCCGCTCGCTTCGCAATTATTAGAATATATGAATCTATTATCATAGTTTGATAATGGACATTATCAAAATGCTTTTCCCGTTTTGGGGGTTGGTTTTTGACAAAAAATCGGTTTTTCTATCGGTTTCGTCAGGCGGCATCAAAGGTGAAGAGCCGATGGCCCTTCTGGGACGAGGATGTGTATAGAGTTGAGTATGCCCACGAGGAGGTGAGGTCTCGGGTTCGAATCCTGGTGGTGGCATAGCTATAGTGTGTTATTGAGCAGTTATGCATATTTCAATTTGGGAGTAGTACGACTATAGACTATGGAAGGCTTATAAAACGTTGGTGTCAGTCGATTTACATCGGAGTTTAACCCTCGTGATATGAAGAACACTAGTGAAAAACATATTTCACGACTACTGCATATCACGGCGAATGCCGCGTTTTTCACCACTTCGCGTAAAAGGAGTGTTATTATGTTAACTTTCGAAATTGAAGGCGTTGAAAACATTACTTTATAAAACGGTTTGGTTCACACTATAGGTGCGAGCCATTCATGATAGAGATCCCAGAGAGTACGAAGTCCAAACTAAGACGTTTGTGGGAGAGGACGGTGTGTTGAAAGGCATCGAGACTGTACGGGTATCGTTCGATCTGGTCGCGAGAACCACTAAGCCTGTTGAAGGTGAGCCTTTGCCCTTTTGATCGAGTATTGATTAGTGTAGGTATATATGAGTAGTAATTATTATTTTCTCTTCGAAGTGATGCTGTGTCATAGTATATTCGCTGATATCATTCCGAAATGACCCAATTTCTATTAGGATGAGCTTATTTCCAATGAGGTTTTCATCAGCTTTAGGATGTGGTTTTTCGTCCTTTTCTGAAAGCAGGTAAACGTGGCACGATCTGACGCCGTTATTTCGTATGTAAATTTTCGCTTGTGCGGTATGGAAATTCCATACCGCACAAGCGCAAAATTAAGAGAATAGCATTTCTAGTCAATAGCATTCCACAATGGAATGCTATTGACTAGAAATGCTATTACCAGAACACTGGAGAGTGTATTAGGATGTACATTTTGCTGATAAATGACTTATATGGATTTCGATTGGAATTAACTTTTTCCATGAATGTTTCCGTCAGCATTGGAATGGTGTTCGCGGTGGAATCAGTTGATGTAGTTATTTTCTATGTACACTTTCGCTCGTATCTCTCGCAGACTCCTCGTTACTGATTTGTGACAGTACGTGTGAATTTGATAACGAATGGGTGTTATTTTCCGAGGTTCATGATAATCGATATATCGCATATACAATGTAACGATAGCTATGAACATGTGTTGTGATGATGAGAGTACCCGTTTGGGACTGTGATGATAGCGACAACTTGTTCACTATCATTTGTCCTACACACATTTGCATATCAAATTGGCATGTACTTTCATCGCGATTCTTTCATGTACTTTTATTCCTCCTCAGGTTCGGAACACACTTATCCCTGCGACCTGGCTCTGCTAGCGATGGGGTTCACGGGACCTGACCAGGTGGTCGACCAAGGAGCTCTTCCACGCAAAGAAGGTTGCTTCGATGCTGAATACGGAAGGTGGGGTTGGGGTTTAGCGCGCGCCCAATTGATCGATTATGTGAATC